TAGAACCGGACCGGATGAACAGTACGGTTTCGGTTCTAATTTTACCTGAGAACCGGTCCAAACCGGACCGTGCCCAGGCCTAGTTTTGAGAGAGGCATGACGGTATATGGGAGTGGGTAGGAGTGGTGGGGATTAGGAATGGGGAGTTGGCTTTCTGGTTTTTTTAACTTTGGCTTTTGTAATTTTCAGTCTTATTTTTTAATTTTAGATTGAATTAAAATTTCTATTGCTTCATGTTATTAGATTTTTCAAGATTTGTTGATGTGTCAAGTCTTAAACAGTTAGATTATAAGAATGGTCTAGATATTTTGAAATGCGGGTAAATGCACAAAGAGTAAATGTAGAGGCTTGAGATCCATACACAGACTACATAGATGCTAAGACTCGAATCCTAAATTTCTCCTTTTCTTGGGGGCAATTGCTCCAAACTACTACACAAATAGGTTTTTGGCAATTTTTCTCAAATATTTAAATATAAATAATCTACTTTATAAGCTTAAATTCAATAATGCATGACTTCCTTAGTTCTTACAAGAAAAATAATTAAATAAACAAAATCAGAAAGAGACAACTAACAAGGGTCCAACTTTGTGATTAATCCAAAAGACAAAGGAGTAGCTGGTGCAATTCGCAAAGACAGAGAAAACCAACGGAGAAGAGAGCTCAGGCAGAGTGGAAGAAAAAAAGAAAGAAGAGTGAGAGGAGAGAAAAGAGAGCAGAGAGAAATTCTCCGAGAGAGAAAAATCAGTGAGCATAGAGATTGTAAACACTAAAGTTGTAGCGCTATACCAAACATCAAATTTAAATTTGATGGCTAATGTGGCAATTTGACATCTTACACAGCTTTACACATATGTCAAATTAAACTATTATTTTATTACATTTTAGTGCTGATTTATTTTTAATTAAAAATAAAATAATAAATAATAAAATATTCATTTGACATCTTGCTTTTGAGATGTCAAAAATAATATCTCAACCTCTAGTCTTCATTCCACATCAGCTTTGACACATCGGTTCGAGTGATATGAGATGTTATTTCTAGCCATTAAATGTCTATGTGACACTTTTGACACTTCGGTTGCAGATACTCTTATATACATAGAAAACCCAACGTCAAATCTACTCTCTGCCTTCTCCTAGTAAACTTCGTTGTACTCTGTTTCTGTCTATGTTTTGAGCAGCCAAATTCACCACTTGCCCGACACTGCCACGTGGCACTAATAATTTCTTTTTATAGATATTTTCTCAAATCTTCCACTCACTTCCTTTTCTTCCTTAGAGCATCTCTAAGGGAGATGTCAAATACCAAACATCAAATTTAAATTTGATGGCTGATGTGGCAATTTGACATCTTACACAGCTTTACACATATGTCAAATTAAACTATTATTTTATTACATTTTAATGCTGATTTATTTTTAATTAAAAATAAAATAATAAATAATAAAATATTCATTTGACATCTTGCTTTTGGGATGTCAAAAATAATATCTCAACCTCGTGCCTTCATTCCACATCAGCTTTGACACATCGGTTGGAGTGATGTGAGATGTTATTTCTAGCCATTAAATGTCTATGTGGCACTTTTAACACTTCAGTTGGAGATGCTCTTATATACACAGAAAACCCAACGTCAAATCTACTCTCTGCCTTCTCCTAGTAAACTTCGTTGTACTCTGTTTCTGTCTCTGTTTTGAGCAGCCAGACATGAGCTGATTCCAAATATGTTTGTTAAAAGAAAATCGAATGTGCCGCAACACTTTCTGTATGTCAATTCTGGTTGTAAACGAGCAACGGCCAAATTACTTTGTGAATTGTCTTTCTCTTTTTGGCTCGTTTCAACACCAAACTTACTTTGCATGGTTTCTTTCAATTCCTTGTTAATTTCAACAGCAGCACAGACAGCCAATCCGCTGTTCTCCAGTTTGAAATTCCGAGGGATTTTTAAAGAAAACTCATATTTATCACTTAGCTCATACAAATCTTCACGATGGCTGAACCAATTTGGAACTTCGCATCCGGGAAATACAACGGCGAATTGAGATTGCTTAGAGGAGAGAGACAGAGCAGAGGCTGACCTTATTCAATGAAATATATTCTATATTTGACGCTTCATGAGCCAGATTGTCACATAGTTTCTGACAATCAAACAATGTGACACATTCGATCATTTGTTCCTCTTTATGCTCCAAGATGCTTGACAGTTTTGCGAATCGTTCCAATGAAACACAATCAGCAGCATTTACCCGTTCCACTTTTGGTGGAAGCTCAGGAACTTCTTTAAGGCTCTTGCAACCACTCAGGTTAAGATAGCAAGTCAGGTGATATATTTGAGTTTGTAGGAAGTGAATCTGCACTCCATTTTGGAAACTTAACAAGATTTTGGCATCTAAAGAGATTAACACTCGTTAGATGTTGCAGCTCGTAAATGCTGCATGACAGATTTGTAAGGTTTTGACACTCTGCTAAAGTTAACACTTCGAGGCTAATGAGATATCCAATTGACGAAGGCAAATCTGTGATGGCAGAGTGAGATATTTGTTCGCACCACTTTGCAAAACCCAAGGGAGGTGTCGTATAGCAGTGTAGCTCGGAAGTCCGAGTGTCGTATCCACAGAGAGCGGTGTAAAGATAGCAGAGCTGAAAAGAACAATTATGATTGAAAAGTAGATTTATACAAGATTTGATTTCAAGAAAATTCAATTGATTAAAACACTAAGGCATTGGGTTTCCACTTTTAATATAAGCATGCAACTCTTACTAATTTGATCCACAAAATATTTTCCAATGTAGTTGTTCAAAATAATTAAAGCTCTTTGTAATTTCCTTTAGAAGTATTCTAAGCATAACTTGTACCATTGGCAACAAACTATCAAAAAAAATAAACTTCATCGAAATTCTATTAATCTTTAGTAATTCTCTTCTCTTTTAAAAGCATGAAAGTTTTTACTACACAATGGGAAAAACATGATTGAACCCATGAAATAGATTATCAAACATTCATCAATTAATTAAAAAGAAAACTACAAATTCCATTTGAACAAAAACTACAAATTCACATTAAAGCTTAAGTTTGGATCAAACTAATAAAAATTACACACTTATATTAAAAGCTTTCTCCCTAGCCTTAGCTAGGGAATTAGTTCCCCATAATAAGATAAAACTAAAAACAGAAATTAAAACTATAAAAGAAGTGGAGGAAGGAGGGAGCTCAAAGAGTTTGAGGAGCTTGGTGTCTCCTTTGAAGCTGCATCAATGATCTATTTATAGGAATGGGGGCTGCTCAGGTTGTAATCCGATTGCAACATACTTGATTAAACTATTATCCTATCATGCCACTGCCGTAGCCTTCCTCTTCTGTAATTCTTCAATTGATGCTCCACTTACCTTGTTTATTCACTCTAGTGCTGGCAGCACCCTCCAAATCTTCATTCTTATTAGTTTGGCTGCCACACTTCAACGAGCAATTGCTTGCTAGTGGCTGGCCATTCTTCATGCTTTTATTTTATTTGTATTAATGCCATCACCACTTCTCCTTTGATAAATCTTCTTTGGCAAGTGCTGCACTCCATGCATCCCTTTTAATTCTTTTGTTGCTGCTGCCATTTGCATACTAGCTTCCATTTGTTTATTTGCTCTCTCAACAAATGAGTTGCGTATGCCATGACACCATATGCTGAGTAAAATACAAACTTTCTTTCCATTTGCAGCGGCCACTCTTCATTTCCTTTGACTGGTGCATTCATTTCTTCTTGTCCTTTCCTTTATGTTTTGGTGTGGCACTTCACTCTTCTTTTCAAAATCCAATAGTAATTGCTGCACTTATTGTTAACTTGCTGCAAAACTCACCAAGAGCCTACAAAGAAAAAGTAGTAATTTTAATTTCCAATACTTTTATTAGCATAATGCCCAAATTTATAAAAACCAATCTTTAGCCTAAATAGCTCAAAATCAAATAAATTACAGCACTAACAAATATATATTTAGGGATAAAACTTGTAATAATTATGTGCTCATCAATAGATCCAAGAATGTTATGCACTCCATCTTTTCCAGAGTCTGAGGGAAATAATTGAGCATCCTGCAACCTCTAAGATTTATATTTTTGACAGATTTCATTAACATTTATAAGGGCCTTTTCTTTGAGTACTTTGACACCATACTTAGGGTTGAGGCCGCAACCTTCTAGTATTTGTATCAAATGGTCCTTATCTTCACCTTTAAAGAAACATGCAATGTCAAGGAAAACTTCTTTCACATGATCTTCCAATGAATTATAACTTATTTTAAGAGCTTCTTGAATGTCTGGATTAGGAATTTTTTTGCAACCATCTAATGCATCTAGCCGTTCCTCAATACTTCCACAACATAGAAGTGAACCTAAAACCACCAGAGCTAGGGGAAGGCCTCGAGCATACTGCACTACAGTACTAGCGAGCTTCTTATAATCATCCGAAAGTCGTCTTTCTCCTGGAAAGGCATTCGCACTGAAGAGATCAAAAGCTTCATGATCATCTAATTCCTTGACATTGTAGATTAGATTAACTTGATGAGCAGTGAGCAAGTGCTTATCTCTAGTTGTTATGATTATTCTACTTCCGTTACCAAACCATTCAGACCTTCCAACTAATTTCTTCAGTTGGTCTACTTGGTTCGCATCATCAACAATTATGAGAACCCTTTTCTTTATCACATTCATTCCCTCATGAACATTGGACAGCTCCAAGTCTTTCCCTCCTAGAATCTTAGACAAAATAATGTTTTGTAGTTTAACTAGGCCTCCATGTTGCATTGATTCTTCTCTAACATTGTCCAAAAAGCAGCTACCTTCAAATTTATGGGCAATTGTATTGTAAACAGCTCTAGCAATTGTTGTTTTCCCTATTCCACCAATTCCCCATATCCCTACCATACAAACATTATTTTCCCCAGCACGTAAAAGCTTAACCACATGTCTTACACGAGACTCGATTCCAACTGGGTGATCTGCCACATTAAAGGCAGTATTATTTAAAACTCGTACCAAAATCTCTTCAACGATGTCATGAATAAATTTAGATTCATGCCTGCCAATAAAAGCATATGAAACATATAGATGAATGGCAGTTTCATTTGTTAAATTTGTTTTTGGAAAAAAGATAGAACATGAAAAGTAGAAGACAATTCTGCTTGATTAAAAGTGACAATGCTTTACATCAAGGACTTTTAATTTATTTCCATTATTTACCTTCAAGGGCAAAATAGTCATGAAAAATAAGTAATAAATGCAAATTAGGTTACCTCCTATTAGTTATGAGTGTTCTTGTAGTGTATAGTGCTCAGAAAATTTACCCGTGTAAGAAATGCCACCCGGACAAATTTGCTGCTTCTACAAGAGCTGCTTTCCGTCTCAGCACCTTGTTCATATCATTCTTGAAGTTGCATTCATGGTTAGCAATTGCCTCTCCAAAACTACCTCTCTGGTGCCGTATATGGGAGGGATCCACTTTGTAATAAATTGGAAAAACCATTTGTTGCTTTAATTATCTACATTGAATGATATGAGCGAGTTCATCCAAGCACCACGTAGAGGATGCATAGTTTTCAGAGAATATGATGAGAGAAATCATTGACCCTTGAATTGCTTTGAGAAGCGCTGGCGATATATCTGTTCCTCTTTCAAGCTCGTCATTATCTATGAAGGTGTTGATCCCCTTCCGATCCAAACTGCTATGCAAATGGTCTGTAAAATTGTAGCGTGTATCCTCGCCTCTAAAACTGAGAAAGACATCGTATGTCCATGAATGGGGGGAAGAAGAAGAGGAAGAAGCCCCATGAATGGTAATTGAATCCATAAACAGTCTGAAAGAGTTTGTACTGCTAACTCATGTCGATGACATTGCTCCTTCCATTGTGAATGTGAAGTCAACCGACTGGCCTTCAACCTGCCCTTGTGGTTAAGTGCGCTTGCACTGACTCCTAGTGGTCCTGGGTTCGAAGGTTGGTACCACATTCTCTACAAAACCCAGAATGTGAAGTCAACCGGTCAAGAATGAATAAGGAATAATAGAACAAGACGAAAAGAAAGAGGCAAGTTTGCTCTCTCTCTCTCTCTCTCCACTTCCAGCCCTTAAGATTCCTCTAGTAAGTTTTGATCATAACGTAATTAAAGAACTACAATAATTAAAGGTATATACTTGTGGTTGCACGCGGTGTTCAATATATATTAAGGACAAATTACAGCTGATATGGCCCAACAACCATACAAACCGCAGTTTCCCAGGAAAGCCATCAGGGCATCAATTAAGGTACCATGGAGGTAGGGCTGGGAATTTAATCTGCCAAACCGACCGACCATATTGGTTTGGTTTACGGTTTCAAATTTCAAAGTGGTTGGTTCAACCCAACCGAACTAAGTGTAAAAATTCTAAATATATTAGAAAATTGGTGCCTAATGATAATGTTGTTATCGCCCTTGTTATCATGCTTCCGCATCTATATTAATTTTATCATATATGGTTATTTGTATTTGTAACTGACAGTCTTTAGGTTTGAATTATGAATGCATTCTATCATCTTTCTAATAAATTTGTTGCTTAAGATCCAACCTTCATCTCCGCACCTCCATACGATGATGTGCATTCATGAATAGTAAGTGCCTCGTCAAAAAACTACCCTTTTGTACATCTTAAGGATCCACTTTGTAAAATATGGCCCATAAACCACTTGTTGCTTCATCTCTTGACATTTGATGATCTTCTCTTAACGAGTTCCTTCCTCCAAGCACCACTCTGAAAAATGCATACTTTTTAGAGAATACGACGTTGCAAATTCTTGAAGATAGACAACAATCAAATTGCAGAATCAGCATATCATTATTCTGAATTAAACAAACCCCTTGACAAAAATGTCAGGCGATGCTTAGTATGTGGTACAGCATATAGAGTCGTGAGACGCTCTACTTCCTCTTGTTCAGTTATCGACTCGCTGGCTGTTTCCGGGGGGCCCAGATGCTTTGCGAGACCGAAAGCTTCATTTTGTGCGCATGGAACATTGCGAGAAAGGCTGCACTGCACATGGGGGTTTTCTGCCAAAATTATATGTGGTGCCTAGAAAGTCCAAGTCATCTTACTGTAGTAGAATTGAATACTTATTATGAAGAAGGGATCAAAGTGAGTCGGTTCACAAGACAAAACACTAGGGTAACGGGGATATTTTGCGACAAGGGGATAAAAATGATCTTTTCACATATTGATATTTCCACGACAGCCTTACACGATGACACTTTTTGTTTAAATTGAGCTTAAACCCATAAAATTCATTTTAAATCACATACAACTCTTTCTTTTAGTTTTCTATTTAAAATACCCAAAAATTTCAAATAATACCCGATAACTAGGATCCAACTAAGCAAGTTACCTAATATAACTTAAAATCTGATTTATTGTATTTTTCGGATTCCAAAACTATCCCTATTTATGACTTAATGTGTTATGGGGGGTGTAACTAATGACACACGTTGAATTTGGAAAGATTACCAAATGGTTGTAATGGATGTAGGAATTAATTTAGAAACTTATTTGAAATTAAATATTAAATTCAACATTAACGTATTAGTAATCTATTTTTGAATTAATGTTGTTTTTTATGAATTACTACTAGTGATCTATTTAACTTATTAGTAATTTACATTCAATATTAAATTTAGGAATTAATGTTGTTTTCCTTTTATGAATTATACGACTAGTAATCTATTTTATTATACTTTTATGAATAATAGTGTAAATTTTAATTATGTTGAAAAATAATTTGATAATCTATTTATTATTTGTTTTGTGAAAAATATTTTTTTTAAATGAACCTATTTTTTCTCTAAATATTGTACCTATTTTTTTCTCTAATAATGTACCTAGTATAATGAACCTATTTTTTTCTCTAAATTTTGTATCTATTTTTTTTTCTCTAAATAATGTACCTATTTTTTTTTTCTCTAATAATGTATACCTAGTAAAACAATTTACCTAATATAATGAACTTATTTTTTTCTTCTAAATAAGGTACCTATTTTTAATTTATAAAAAATGTGCATAAATTTCAATTATACATTGCACCTATTTTCTATAAATTATTGTGTACCTATTTTTAATTTTTGAAAAATGTACTGAAATTTCAATTACAAAGTAACTGACCTCTTTTTTTTTGGTAAATAATATACCTATATATATATATATATTCATATGTACATTATTGGATATGTAATTTACATATATATATTTTTGGTTTGTAATTTTAGGGGGTGATATGTTAGAGGGTATAGCAACCAAAAGAAATGGGATGATTGATATGCTATTAATAGGGAGTTTTAATTACAATTATGGCAGGTAATGAAATGCATGGAATAAATTATAAATTAAATATGAAGTTTGATGGCAATGATGTAAAAACATAGGAATACTATGACCTCTTATATCCTACTGGTTATTTAAGTTTGAAATTGGGTTTTACACATAGATTTATAGGATGATGGGTATATGTCTAGGAAATAGAAATTGTAGGGACCTATATTGGACAAGCCCTAAAAAGAATCACCAAATTATAAACACGTCCTGAATTGCAAATGAAACCCAACTATAAGGACCTCATTGCAAAACTACATTAACCTACAGGTCGACAACAAAGGAAACAGTGTTAAATTGCACACGGCAAACCCAATCATAGACTCTGTATAAAGCATTTCTTTCAACAACAAAAAAACCCAAACAGAAACCCCACAAAGTAAAAGGACTTGGATGCAGTTAAATTGGCTGTTAGATTGTTCATCTGATACACTGTTGGGTCTTTCAGTTCATTTTCCTCAAATATATAATTAAATAAAATTAAAGTAAAAATAAATAAAGATAATCTACTTTATAAGCTTAATGCAGAACTCCGGGTTCTTACAAGAAAAATAATATCCAGAAGACAAAGGAGGAGGCGTCCAAATCTCAAAATAGCTGGTTCAATTCACCACTTGGTCAAATCATTATTGGTGTTTGGTGATAATGTTGTTACTGCCCTTGTTAAATACGGGCATAAACCACTTGTTGCTTCATCTATTGACATTTGAGGATCTTCTCTTATGTATATACATATAAGTTTACTTACTATGCCTTCTGTTAAGACTTGATAAGCATCCCCGTGAGACCACAATCTGCTGCGTTTTCTAGGTTCAAATGGTGCCTCTTGGCAAATTATTTCTTTTCCCATTTCTTCTATCAAGTCATGCATCCAAATACTATTGTCTTGATTAATATGTATAAGGGTCTTTTCTTTGAGTATTTTGAGACCATACTTAGGGTTGAGGCCGCAACCTTCTAGTTTTTGTATCACATGGTCCTTATCTTCACCTTTAAAGAAACATGCAATGTCAAGGAAAACTTCTTTCACTAGATCTTCCAATGAATTATAACTTATTTCAAGAGCTTCTTGAATGTCTGGATTAGGAATTTTTTTTGCAACCATCTAATGCAGCATCTAGCCGTTCCTCAATACTTCCACAACATATAGAAGTGAACCTAAAACTACCAGAGCTATGGGAAGGCCTCGAGCATACTGCACTACAGTACTAGCGAGCTTCTTATAATCATCTGAAAGTCGTCTTTCTCCTGGAAAGGCATTCGCACTGAAGAGATCAAAAGCTTTGTGATCATCTCAGCACCTTGTTCATATCATTCTTGAAGTTGCATTCATGGTTAGCAATTGCCTCTCCAAAACTACCTCTCTGGTGCCGTACATTGGAGGGATCCACTTTGTAAAAAATTGGAAAAACCATTTGTTGCTTTAATTCTCTACATTGAATGATATGAGCGAGTTCATCTAAGCACTACGTAGAGGATGCATAGTTTTCAGAGAATATGATGAGAGAAGTCATTGACCCTTGAATTGCTTTGAGAAGCGCTGGTTATATTGCCATTTTCCCTCTCCCTTTGGTGCCTAAGAATTGCACAAAATCTGCACTCTATTCTACTAAAATCTGCTCTACAATTCTCTACCCATTCTCTTTGCATTACCTTCTATTTATAGAGGAAGGAAAGCAACTAAAGCATCAACATAATCATCATCTTCAAATGTTGGCAGCTGCACACATGGTGCTGCCCACTCTTCTTTTGCTGTACATGTGGTTGCTGTCTAAAGTTGCTGCTATCTTTCTAATGTAATTCCTCACATGCACACATGATGGGCTTCCATCATGTATTCTTTGCTTCTTGTCCTTTCCTTTATGTCTTGGTGCGGCACTTCACTCTTCTTTTCAATATCCACTAGTAATTGCTGCACTTATTTATTAACTTGCTGCAAATCTCACCAAGAGCCTACAAAGAAAAAGTAGTAATTTTAATTTCCAATACTTTTATTAGCATAATGCCCAAATTTATAAAAACCAATCTTTAGCCTAAATAGCTCAAAATCAAATAAATTACAGCACTAACAAATATATATTTAGGGATAAAACTTGTAATAATTATGTGCTCATCAATAGATCCAAGAATGTTATGCACTCCATCTTTTCCAGAGTCTGAGGGAAATAATTGAGCATCCTGCAACCTCTAAGATTTATATTTTTGACAGATTTCATTAACATTTATAAGGGCCTTTTCTTTGAGTACTTTGACACCATACTTAGGGTTGAGGCCGCAACCTTCTAGTTTTTGTATCACATGGTCCTTATCTTCACCTTTAAAGAAACATGCAATGTCAAGGAAAACTTCTTTCACTAGATCTTCCAATGAATTATAACTTATTTCAAGAGCTTCCTGAATGTCTGGATTAGGAATTTTTTTTGCAACCATCTAATGCATCTAGCCGTTCCTCAATACTTCCACAACATAGAAGTGAACCTAAAACCACCAGAGCTAGGGGAAGGCCTCGAGCATACTGCACTACAGTACTAGCGAGCTTCTTATAATCATCCGAAAGTCGTCTTTCTCCTGGAAAGGCATTCGCACTAAAGAGATCAAAAGCTTCGTGATCATCTAATTCCTTGACATTGTAGATTAGATTAACTTGATGAGCAGTGAGCAAGTGCTTATCTCTAGTTGTTATGATTATTCTACTACCGTTACCAAACCATTCAGACCTTCCAACTAATTTCTTCAGTTGGTCTACTTGGTTCGCATCATCAACAATTATGAGAACCCTTTTCTTGCTCAACCTTTTCTTTTTCACATTCATTCCCTCATGAACATTGGCCAGCTCCAAGTCTTTCCCTCCTAGAATCTTAGACAAAATAATGTTTTGTAGTTTAACTAGGCCTCCATGTTGCATTGATTGTTCTCTAACATTGTCCAAAAAGCAGCTACCTTCAAATTTATGGGCAATTGTATTGTAAACAGCTCTAGCAATTGTTGTTTTACCTATTCCACCAACTCCCCATTTCCCTACCATACAAACATTATTTTGCCCAACGTAAAAGCTTAACCACATGTCGTACACGAGACTCGATTCCAACTAGGTGATCTGCCACATTAAAGGCAGTATCATTTAATACTCGTACCGAAATCTCTTCAACGATGTCATGAATAAATTTAGATTCATGCCTGCCAATAAAAGCATATGAAACATTAGATGAATGGTAGTTTCATTTGCTAAATTTGTTTTTGGAAAAAAGATAGAACATGAAAAGTAGAAGACAATTCTGCTTGATTAAAAGTGACAACGCTTTAAATCAAGGACTTTTAATTTATTTCCATTATTTACCTTCAAGGGCAAAATAGTCATGAAAAATAAGTAATAAATGCAAATTAAGTTACCTACTATTAGTTATGTGTGTTCTTGTAGTGTATGGTGCTCAGAAAATTTACGTGTAAGAAATGCCACCGGGACAAATTTGCTGCTTCTACAAGAGCTGCTTTCCATCTCAGCAACTTGTTCATATCATTCTTGAAGTTGCATTAATGGTTAGCAATTGCCTCTCCAAAACTACCTCTCTGGTGCCGTACATGGGAGGGATCCACTTTGTAAAAAATTGGAAAAACCATTTGTTGCTTTAATTCTCTACATTGAATGGTAGGAGCGAATTCATCCAAGCACCACGTAGAGGATGCATAGTTTTCAGAGAGTATGATGAGAGAAGTCATTGACCCTTGAATTGCTTTGAGAAGCGCTGGCGATATATCTGTTCCTCTTTCAAGCTCGTCATTATCTATGAAGGTGTTGATCTAGAGCCGGTCCATTGATTTTGGAGGCCCTGTGCAAATATGGATGTCGAGGCCCTAGGCCTACATATACAAGTAGGAAAAAAAAATCCATATAGAAACAAAATTTTCTGACACGGGAGGAACACCTTCGGAAAGAGCTTCCTAGAAAAAGTTCTTTAGTCACTCTTCCAAATCACAGAGCTGATAAATTGATTTTCCAATTTCAATGCTCGGTGAATTCTCATGTGAATGA